ACGGGTGACAGGCCCTTGCTGATCCAGCGTGGGCCAGACCGGTGACCTGTCCCTGCCCTCCCAGTGGAGCCTCCTAGGGAACTTCCGTCCACCTGTCTCAGAGAGGATCCGTCCTCACTAGCCAACCAGGTGAGCGCGGGGTGGGGCAGGTGAAAGTTCGGCTCTGAGTGGTGCTGTGTAGTCTGGAAACGTAGCCTGGGGCACTCAGCTGCCATCTGTGCCCCAGGGCCCTCTCCCCCCACCCCAGTGCGGACACCCCACAGGAGAGCAGGGAAGGGGTCCCTGGGGTGCCACTTGGGAGCTCCTGTAGCTTCACATCTTGCTGGGGCTGGCGGGACCGCCCCCTTTCCAGCAGAGAGGACCAGCAGAGGAAGTACCCCCAGGTCTGGGGGATGGGTTTCTGCGGGCTCCGCATGCCCAGAACCGCCTGTTCTCACCCTGGTGGGGAGGAAGGCAGGCCTGGCTTTTAACAGACACCTGAGGGGCTTCCCTGAGGCCATGGGGCTGGTAAGGGGCAGGTCCGTCCATCTGTGAGTGGCCTCCTCCTCCCCCCCAGCAGCCGGTAGGTGCCTGCCAGCCTGCCGGCCTGTGATGTGGAGCCCCGGGAATGCTGTGTGTGTGTGGGGAGGCGGGTGGGGCCTGCATGAGCTCACCCTGAGGTACCTGCTGGGGCTTCTGACCCTGGCTGCCAGCAGGGGTGAGTCAGCCGGTGACGGCTGGAATCCTTCATGGCCCTCTGGTGCCCTGGGCTCTGGTCAGGGGAGCCAGGCCCTTCGGCCTTCAGCTTGGCTGTGGGCACTAGACATCCGCCCTGGCTGCGGTGGGGGGTGGGAAGGGGGCTCCCGAACTGCCCCTCCAGGAAGCGTCCAGGTTCTCACGGATGCGTTGCCAGGACCTTCACTCGGGGCCAGTGGTGGGCTTGGCTTCAGCCAGGGGCTGGCCTGGGTGCCTGTGTCCCCTCCTACTGACCTCCCCTGGCCTCTCGGCCCCAGGATGGGGGAGTTCAACGAGAAGACCACGTGTGGCACCGTCTGCCTCAAGTACCTGCTCTTCGTCTTCAACTGCTGCTTCTGGGTGAGGAGTGGGCACCCCCTCCCGCTGGCCTCCGCCGCTCCCATTCCTGGTCCTTAAGGGGAACCCTGGCCTGGGGGCGGGCGTGCCGACCAGTGTGCGCTGCCCACAGCTGGCTGGTCTGGCCGTCATGGCGGTGGGCATCTGGACGCTGGCCCTCAAGAGTGACTACATCAGCTTGCTGGCCTCGGGCACCTACCTGGCCACAGCCTACATCCTGGTGGTGGCTGGCGTTGTTGTCATGGTGACCGGCGTTCTGGGCTGCTGCGCTACCTTCAAGGAACGGCGGAACCTGCTGCGCCTGGTTAGCAGGGCACCGGGCTGCTGGTGGGGGGGGGGGGGGCGGGCGCTGGGGCCCCGGTGAGAAAGGGAATGGTGGGGGTCGAGTGTGACGCCACAGGACAGCCTCTGCGGTGCTCACCTGTGCCAGGGGTGGGGGGCATCCCTGCATCCCAGCTCGGCCAGCCGAGGGGAACTGTCAGGGAGTGCCAGCACCCACCCACTGCCATGAGCCCTCTGTGGCCACTTGGGATCTGAGGTTGGGGGCTCTGCTCTGTCGTGCCTGGGCGCCAGGAGTCCTCACGGGACAGGGGTGTCTGCGCCCAACCCCAGCTAACTGTCCCCGCCCAACCCCCCCCCCGGCCCCCAGTACTTCATCCTTCTCCTCCTCATCTTTCTGCTGGAGGTCATCGCTGGCATCCTGGCCTACATCTACTACCAGCAGGTGAGGGGCCTAGACAGGCCACACGGGGACGCACACACGCGGGGACACAGACACACACGCGGAAACGTGCCCGTGCAAGGGCACAGATGGGCACATGTGAGACAGGCACACACGCTTGGAAGGACACACGCTCCCCCTCCCCCATGTTCCAGAGGCCCCTGGGGGGCAGGGGCTCACAGTGCGGATGGACAACTTGCCTGTAGCGCCCAACAGGCCCACTTGGGGCTCATGCAGGGAGGAAGGTGTCCATGGGACCTGGAGCTCCCTCCCTGTCCTCAACCCTGTCCACGGCCACCTGGGACACTTGTCCAGCCCAGCCCCTCCCCAGCCAGCATCTGGCCCTAGCTCTGCTTGGAGACCCTCCCCCCACCTCCCCCCGGTCTGTCCCTGCCTCCACGTGCCCCAGCTTGGAGGGTCTTGGATTGTTCTGCTGAAGCTGTCCCCTCACCCCCAGCTGAACACAGAGCTCAAGGAACACCTGAAGGACACCATGACCAAGCGGTACCACCAGCCAGGACACGAGGGTGTGACCAGTGCGGTGGACAAGCTGCAGCAGGAGGTATGTGGGCACCACGGGGGTGGGTGTGCACACCCCTGCGGGCCCCCCGGGCCCCTGAGGGAGTCCCTGCCCCAGGGTCTCAGCCCAGGCCGCGTTGCCGCTGCAGTTCCGCTGCTGTGGCAGCAACAACTCCCATGACTGGAGGGACAGCGAGTGGATCCGCTCCGGCCAGGCGGGTGGCCGCGTGGTTCCCGACAGCTGCTGCAAGACTGTGGTGACCGGCTGCGGGCAGCGGGACCACGCCTCCAACATCTACAAGGTGGAGGTAGGTGCCTGGGCTCCCCGGTGAAGGGCTGAGGAGCCGCAGCAGCCCCCGGTGCTGGGGGCCCACCCGAGGGGCCGGACTCGCCCACCTTTGGCACCTTACCCCTCCCCCGCCAGGGTGGCTGCATCACCAAGCTGGAGACCTTCATCCAGGAGCACCTGAGGATCATCGGGGCAGTGGGCGTTGGCATCGCCTGTGTGCAGGTTCGGGGGGGGGGGGGCGGCGGGCAGGCCCCCACGGGTGCAGGGGACACGGGCGGCTGGTGGCCGTGCCCTGCTCACCCCGGCTCTGTGCCGCAGCTCTTCGGCATGATCTTCACGTGCTGCCTGTACAAGAGCCTGAAGCTGGAACACTACTGACCCTGCCGGGCGCCCCGCGAGTGCCGCAGCTTTGCCGCCTGACTACTGAGCTGACACTACTGATGGCCCCAGGGCCAGAGTCCCAGGACGCTGCTCCGTACCCTCTCCCCGCTCTGCCAGGGAGGTGGCGTTCTCACGTGTGCACCCCCGTGCCGCCACCGTGACCTCTGGGGACCCCCTCCCTCAGAGGGAGCTTCAAGTGCCTTTCTCTCCAGACCAGAGGACTGAGGCGGGGCCCTCCGGCTGCGGGGAGGGAGGAATACTCTGCCTGGTGTGGGGACACTGGGTTCTGACAGTCAAGTCCCTCTCTGCTTCTCCTGTGGGGCTGGGGCCCTGGGACGGGGGGGCCACCCCCCATGCCTGTGCTCCGCCAGAGGGGCTGGTTTGGGGTGAACTGGGTAGAAAGGGGCTGGCCCCCCCAGGGTGCTCCTAGACCCCTGGACACACCTCTGCATGGTGGTCAGGGCATTGCCGGGTGGGGGCAGCCGCAGGCAGAGTCCCAGATGCACCTGCCGCTGGGTTGCCTACCGCCACCCCTCCCACCCCCCAGCCCCGCTCAGGAAAGCCAAGCGAGCCCGGTCCTGTCCTGCAGGTCCTGTATCTGCCCTCCCAGTCAGGCCTCTGCTGCCCGAGCCCCTGCTTGGATTCCCCGCCACTCCCCCCACTGAAAGGCCACAAGCTCACTTGTTCACGATCACCTCCCCTTGGCAGAAGCAGGGGGTCGCGGGTTCACTCACTGCTGTATCACAAATGCCTAGAACTGCTGCTGCCATGTGACAGGCACTCAATAAAAGTTTGTGGACTGAGTGGGCTTACTCCGTGAGCGACAGACCTGGTTCTGGTCCTCAGGGCCTTCTCCCCAGCAAGGGGGACAGAACCCAGTCCCACAAGGGGCCAGGAGGGCGCATCCTGGTGGTCCCAGGCAGCCACGTGGGAGCCAAGGACTGATGGGACTCCAGGGCCGAGAGGCCAATGGCAGGGACAGCTGAGCACAGGCTGCTTGCGGAGCCTTGCCGGTTCTGGGACGGAAGAACAGTGGTGTGGCCAGAGCCTCATAGAGGCAACAGAGGCCTCGAACGCTGGTTTCTAAACCCCCTTCTGGCTCACGTAGGGATTAGGAAAGGGGGTGTGGGCTCAGGAATGAGGAAGGAGGCCCGAGCTTTGGCAGAACATGAACTGGCAACAGAAGCCAAGGCTTAGGCCGTCTCCCCTGGGCAGACCCTACCTTCCTGCCACAGGTGTGTTTACTGGTTCTCAGAGGACCCCGTGTCAGACATCTGGGCAGTGGGGCTGGCCCTGAAGAAGGTGCCAGAGAAAGTTGCCTCTGTTTCTCTTAACCACAGGCTCCTGCCTTCCGCCTGCCGGAGGGCACCAGGGTTTGCCGACTCCCGTCCAGGGTGATGGCTGCGGGCTCTAAGCCTCAGCCTGAGCTGGAACAGGACGGAGGTCCCCGGAAGACAGCTGTTCGGTGGGGCCACAGGATTAAATGCTAGTGCCCAGGGCCCTGGGAGCTTGACCGGCTCTGACACCCAGCAGAGCCTCCTAGGCCCACCCTCAAGCTGCTGTGAGGTTCTCAAGGGTGGCAGTGGAGGCTGGGCCCTCCCCCTGCAGGAACATGGCCAAGGGAAGGAGCCTGCTGGGCTTGGCTGGTGCCTAGAAGCTTCTGGCAGCAAGACCCTCTGGATGGGCAAACTGAGACACAGCAGGCACTCTATTCAGGGCCCAGGAAATCTGGTTGTTGAGATCCTGGGAGGGGTTTTGGGGAATTTCTGTGCTAGGTCTAAGGAGCACCCGGAACATGGGGGTGGGGATGCCAGTGTCCCCTGGCCCCCTAACCCAAGTGCTGTTGGCCGTCTGTGACTTTGTTGGGCTGTGAGAGCCCACACTCCAGGAACCCCCCACCCCCGGGCTGAATGGCTGTCATTTGAATGGCTCTTCCTGCCCCTGGGCAGTGAGGGCCATGTCCACCCCTAAGCAGCTTCAGGCATGAGACAAGGGAGTCCCACAAAACCAGGCCAACCGTTAGGACCTTCTTGTTGTTCTGCAAAGACCTTTACTGGACGGTTCCTTCCAGACTGGAAGACACACACCCGCAGGCAATGCACGGGCATGCTCCAGGCTATCCACACCTCACAGGGAGGAACTCTGGGCAAGACTCTGCCGGCCCCTGGTGAGCACAGCGGGCGGGTGGGCTCCAGCGCCCTCACTTCTCCAGAGGTGCATAATTGAGCAGCTTCTCGATCAGGTCCACGTGGGCCAGCAGCATGCGACGGCAGCAGTAGCGCTTCAGGCCAAGTGCATCCAGAGCGTCCCTGTGGGCAAGGACAGCAGGCCGTGCTCTGTTCATCCAGGCTCTTCCGGGCAGATGGAGGGCCCTGCCCAGGCTCGGGCAAGCCACACTCGGCTGCCGTGGGATGGTTCCAGCTCGGCTCCACAAGTCAGGGAGGGAGACTCCAGGAGCACCGCCCCACCCCCCGTCTCTGTCTCATTTCTCAAGCCAGTTAGAGTTGTCAATTTTGCCAGGGACTGAGCCCCAGTCACCCTGAACACTGCTCCGGAGGTGGCAGGTTGGGACAGAGCAGGCCAGGTTGGGAGGTCCCTGACGGTGGTATGCTTGCAAGGGGGTCCTGTGCAGGCTACCAGCCACTCACTCACACTCTGGACATTGGAACAGACTCATTAGTACCCGACATGAGCACTCAGCCCATCCCGGGCCTCCGCATTCATCCAAAACATTCAAACCCCAGGCCCCGGGGGGTTTGAATGTGGTCAGGACAGGGGACTGTCCACACAGGAGCCAAGAGTCAGACTGTAGTGGCAACAGGGATTCAGACAATATTGTGGTGGTAACTGCAGTGTTAAGGAGCGAAGCCAGAAAAGAGCCCCCGCCGCCCAGCACAGCGTGATACACATGGCTATGTGGCCAGGAAGCTTGTTCTATATCCCCAAGGGGCAAATGGTTTTGCCAAGACACGGGGGTGGGTCTAACGGCAGAGAGAGGAGAGAGAGCAGGAGGACAGGGAGGAAGCTGACGACTTAGGTGCCATGACTTGCCAGGGGATACCTAGAAGTCCCCAAGATACCGGCGGCTTGATACCCAACTCCCCTCCTCTCCCCGAACTGCAAGGAGGGGGTGGGCGTGGGGGCGGTGGCAAGGCTCCAGTGAGAACACATCAGTGGAGCAGGGTTGGGAGAGAGCCTAGGGGATGAAAGCTCCCGAAGAGTCACCTATGTTGATACAAATGCCCGCTCTCACGCCGCCAGGACCCGGGACCCCGTCCCGCCGTTCCCTCGCCCCCGCGCCTAGCAGCAGCCCACCCGCAGACCGGGACCCCTGACCTCGTCCTCCGCCCCTTGTCCGCACGCGTCACAGATCGGGACCCCTCGACCCCAGAGCCCCACCCCCCGCCCTTCAGTCCGGCAGGCCGGGACCCCTCGACCCCCGTTCCCCACGCCCCCACCCGGCCCGGCGCCTCACCCCTCGGTGTACTCGGCCTGCAGCAGCCCCAGGTAGGCCTCCCACTTGTTGCCGACGATCTTCCCGCAGGTGAAGCAGCGCACGGGTATGATCATGGCGGCGGCAGCTCAGCGCTCGCTAGGTCTGATGTCGCCGCGCTTCCGCCGCGGAGCCAGCCCCGCTTAGGGCGCGTCCATCGCCGGGGGGGAGCCCAGCCCCGCCCCCGGCCGCTCCCCAGCCCACCCCGCCGGCCCGGGGCCGTCGGCGTCCGCTTCCCCCCGTGTCCAGTTCCATTCGCGTGGACCGGGGGTTCCGGGGCCCGCGCGGCCGCGGCAGGAGCAGGCGGACCCCCCCCCCGGCCTTCTCTTTGGTACATCCCGACCTACGGCGTCCCTAGAGGGCCCAAAGGCCCCGACGGCGGCCGTTCGCCTTCCTCGTGTCCGCATGACTGACAGCTGCGCGGCGGGCGGACCGCGCGCAGGTACCGAGTCCGCGCGCGGGGGATGAGGCCAGGGTCCCGCCCCCCGCAGCCCCCCAGCCGGGTCCGGGAGCCGAGTTGAGCTGAACCCGCGCGGAGTTGGAGCCCCGAGCCTAGCCGCAGCAACAAGTGGCGGGCTGGGGGCGCGGCGACCCGCGCGGCGGGGGTGGGGTGGGGTGGGACACGGGGGGCAGAGAGGAGCCGGCCGGTGGGCGGCGGGGACCTGCCGCGGCGGGCGGACACGTACGGGCTTTCCCGCCGCCCCTCCCCGCCTGGAGCCGCTGCCCGCGCGCGCCCGGGGGTCTCTGTGGCAGAGTTTGGCGGTCCCATCCTCAGCCGTGGCCTGGCCCGCTCGTCCGCACCGTGTCGGTCCCGGCCCGGCGGTAGCCTGTAGCCCCGACGGCGGGAGGGCGCGGCGGACTCAGCGGCAGTTCCTCTCCCCCCAGCGCTGCAGCGATCCGCTTCGGCCCGCGTCCCCCCTCCCTTCCTCCCGAAGAAGGGTCTGGGGGTGGGGTGCGGAATGGGTCTGCACCCAACTTGGGCCAGTGCTGGGTAGCCTCCGATCTGGGGACGTCGGGCCTCTGAGGACTCGGGAGAGGGGGGAGGCTGGAGAAGGGTGGGTGGTCCGGGAGGGCGTCGTGGAAGAGGTGCCTTTTGAGCTGAACTCGAAGATTTCACGGGGGTGAGCCTGAGTGTGTGTAAGGGAGTGGACTGATCCTGGCAAAGGGAACCCTTGGACGGAGGCCTGGAGGCTATACCTGCGCGACAGCTCAAGGCCACAGGTTTGTGCTAGGGCCAGAGGTGGAGCTAGGGGTGAAGGGGCAGGAGCCACAGAGGATTTAGAGGAAGGTCTAGCTGTGTCTCTGGAAATGGGGTGGGTGACGTGAGCTCCTTGATCTTGGTGTGGGAGATGGGGAAGAGCAGTGTACGGTGAGAGGCAGGGAAGGCTCCCTGGAGGAGGTAAACTTTTGGGCTGTGGGGGATGGATGTGTTACAGAGTAGCACCTGTGACGTAGGTGTATATGGGGAGGGGCTTGTCAGGGTCCCTGGCCTGGGGCCTCTGGATCTCCGGTAGGGGTGAGTAGGGCCTGTGCTGAGTCCCGGGCATCAGCTAACTCTCCTCTCATGGGTGGATGATGGATTCTGGTCTTAGTTGAGGGGCAGGAAGACGCAGGGTCCCCTGAGGCCTGGGTGGGGCTGGCCAGAGCTGCTGCCTGCCTGGCGTCTGTGCCCCCACCTTTGCCTGGGTCCTGGATAGTCTGCCCAGTGCATTTGTCATCCCGCACGCGGCCACGTGCGGAGCCACGAGTGAGGCCACTTCCCTTCCCAGTGCCCCCCCCCCCCCCCGCTACTGGACGCACATCCTGTCCCTGGACAGAGGGGCAGGATTGGGGACCTTGAGTTACAGTGGCCTGGGGGCAGACCCAGGCTCAGCTGCAGAGGCTGCTGGCAACTGTGGAGGTGAGGGACACAGGGGAGGGGATCCAGGCTTCAACTGGGTGGACCTTGGGGAGCTGGTGGGGGTGGAAGGCTTCCTGGAGGAGGAGCCCAGGGCCTGCCCCACCCATGCTCCTACCCGGATCAGTTGTTTACTCTGAAAGAGTGAGGGGAGTGAGCCTCCCGCCCTGATCCTGGCTGGAGCCAAGTTGACATTCCTGGAATTCTGAGAGCTGTGTGTAGTTTTGGGGGTGGTGGTGGCCTCCTCTCCCCGGGCTCCTCCCTCCAGCTCTCTGACTTCCGAGGAGAGGAGAGGCCACGGGGAGCATCATGGCTGCCCCACCTTAGCCTGTGTGCCCTCAACATAGGTGTTCACGGAGGCCCCTTCGGGCGTTTGATCCTGTCGTCTGTCTCTACTCTGCCTTGGCTCAGCCCTGACCAGGGGACACTGGGGAGACTCAGAGGTCAGCCCTGCCCCCTGTCCCCTGCCTCTGTCGTGGGTGACCACGTTCCTCTGGTGTGTGTGCCATGGGCCAGGCTCTCTTCAGAGAGGGCAGGAGGGAGCCATGGGGGCCTAGGGCACTGGTGGGAGGTGGGGGGACCTCGCTTCTCCTCTCGGTGTGCAGTGTCAGCACAGATGTGGCCCAGGCCTCCGGCCAGAGAGAGTGCCAATTTCTTGAGAATGGGGCATCCTATCCCCAGTGGTGGGAGGCATAGGGAGGGAGGAAGGGAGGGCTGTGCTCACATGTGGTTGGGAACCCGTGAGCCACATTTCCTGCTAGAAGAGGGTCACTGCAGGGCACGGAGGGGACAAGGAGAGATCAACGGCTGAAGTTTTTGCTGCTGAGAGGCTCTGGCCTGGAGCATTGCCCTGTCAACAGGCCAGCCGCAGGGTCAGCTTGGCCTGGGAGTCAGCTGGTCCTGAAATCAGTTTCTCCATCTGTAAAGTGGGTGGAACCAGAAGCTGCCCAGCTGGAGGGTCAAAATCCTGACCTTGCAGGCCTGGCCCCTGGCCCCTCTTGTTTGGGTGGATGTGTGCTCATACAGGGGTGCGCAGGGCGGGTTGGGGTCCGTGAACATACATGCTCCGATGCCTCCCCAGGGCCAGGCGGGTCGCTTGCCTGCTGTACCCACACTAGCCCTTGGCCCTGGGGTCGCAGGGGTCGTGAGTGGTGCCATTTGCAGGTGTGCTTGAGGCTGGATTGGCCTTAAGCTGACGACCGCCCCCCCTCTGGACGAGCCTGTCTGCCAGCTGGGCTGCCTGGGCCCGACTGGGGCTCCCTGAGGGTCCTGCTCCATCTGGGCCTTGGTGGCTGGGAGCAGGGGTGGGCACACACTTGGTTACCAGAGGCAGGAGGCCCCCAGCGCCTGTGGGAGGTGGAAGGGTGTCCCCCGCCCTGGGTCCTAATTGTGTCCCCTCCACCACCACCTCCAGCGGACCTGAGGGTCAGGGGGAGGGGGAGAGGAGCAGAGGTGTGGGGGGAAGACCTGAGGTTGGGGTTGGCCTTGCTGGGCCCAGGAGAGCCTGGAGGCCCCTTGGTGGCCTCTTCACAGGGACCCCTCCCCCGGAGCCGGTGTCTCCGAGCCCCGGAGGCGGCTGCAGTTGGGGGGTGGGGGGGGGTGGCCTTGCCTGGGCTCCGTGTGGGGAGGGTGTGCAGGGTGGGGGCCCGGGTGGGCGTCGGGCCTGCCGGGCTGGGTCAGCAGCTGGACGGCTGCCAGCACAGGACTGTTTGTGTTGGCCTCCGGGCTCCTCCAAGCTGCCTCCGAGCCTGCTCGGCCGGGGGGGCCCCCCTCCCCCCCGGGCAGGCCTCGGCTCTGCTCTCCCCGCCGATCTGCCTCTGCTGGGGCTCTGCTGCCCGGCCAGGCCCCTGCTGCCTCTCAGCTTCTGGGGCTCAGGGTGGGCCGCGCCACTGGCCCTCCCCCTCCCCCCTCCATCTCTGTTTCGGCTTTTGGGCTCTGCTCGTTCCTCTTTGAGTGGACTTTGGTCTGGCCAGGTAGGTGCCCACGGCCTTCTCATGGCTTAGGTTCCCTTGGGGTCCCTCACTTGCCCTGCAGAGTCGAGAAGACCCAGCCCAAGATCACCAGTGTGTTTGTCTTGGGGCTCTCCCTCCGCCCGGTCCCTGCTGCGGGTTCCGCTCTGGGGGATGTGGGCGTGCAGACCCTGCGTGCAAAGGAAGCCCAGAGCAGGGAATGGGGAGGGAGGCTTCCTGGAGGAGGAGGCTGGGCCTGCGGAGAGACGGAGACAGCTCCGGTCCTGGTCCTGTTCAACCCCTGTGACCTGCCCCAGCCACAGGGTTCTGCCTAGGCTGTCCTAGGTGGGAGTGGGGGGCTCTGGACTCATGGAGGACACTGTGGGGCCCAGAAGGGCTAAAGGTCATTCATGGAGGGGCCCGGGCTGCCTTGGGGGCGAGGGCTGGGAGTGTGGCTGCGCAGTGGTCTCATCCAGCCTCAGCTTTGTGTTGGCTGTGGGACTTCCTCACGTAGGGGCCCCAGGAGGGTTGGGGGGGGGGGGCTGCTGGTGGATCTGCCCTTTAGGCCCTGCCCAGGAGGCCCTTCTGTACCCCCCACCCCCACCCCTCCCGGTTCCCAGGTCTTGGGGTGGGGGCATGGTAGGGTATGATACATGCGTTTTAGCTTCTAGAATGTTGCTGTGGGCTTTGGGCTGCTTCACCGGGCCTGAAACCCCTCCGTGGACGCTTCATTCCCGGGCACGGGGACTGCTGAGGGGCTGGGAATTGGTCTGCTCGTCGGCCCCAGGCACAGGTCTGGTGGACTGGCGGGCAGTGGGTGGCCCACGGAGGACGGGCGTGAGGGAGCGGATGGCCGCCATGGTGCCGTCCCCCCTTGGGCTGCCGAGAGGACCACCTGCCCCACCCCCCAGGCTGCAAGGAGCACCTGGTCTGAGGAGGGAGAATTGGGGGGCCCGGCTGGGATGCCCTCAGAACCGCCCCTCCCCACCCCGTGTGACCTTGGAGTCCCCTTCTCAAAACCCTGGCTGGTGGGGGAGGACAGGACCCTCCCGCGAGTGCCGATGGCAGATGAGCGGGCCTGGTGAGTCACCCCCAGCTGGCTCTGTGGGGAGAGAGTGAGGCTGGTGGCTCAGGGAAGGAACGGGCGGGGTGCAGAGCGTCTCGGGGGAAGCGGACCCCGAAGGCTGACCTCAAGGGGGGTGGGACAGCACGACATGGCCCGTGTTGTGCTTGAGTTCCTGCTTCTGAACACGTGTGTTCTCCGCGCGTGGCCCCCGCACGTGCTGTGTGTGTGTGTGCAAGCCTGCGTCTCAGGACGAGCCACCCAAGGTCGGGAGCAAAGCCCTATTTGACACCCACCCCCGGCTGGTCCCCGGAGTCTGGCAGTGCGCCCCCGCCCCCTAGCTGCTCTCGCCTGCCCCCGCAGGGACCTGGTCCTGAGTGGAGGGTTGCTCTTAACCCCCCAAGAGCCTGTCCCGTTTCGGGGAGCCCCCACGGAGGGCGCGGTGTGGCCTCCATCGTGCCCACCTTTCTTTCCACAGGGCTCCCGCCCGCCTTGGCTGTATTGACCGCAGGCCGACCTGCCGGCTCACTTTCAGGAGAATCAAGCACCAGCCGGCTTCTTGTCTGTGGCAAGCTCAGGTATGTCACAGCCCGGCTGAGCAGTAGGGGTGCGGACCTGGGCTGCCTCGTGGTTTCACCCACTCCTGGCCCGGGGGCCTGGCCAGCAGGATGCTCTCCGGGTCCTTAGAGTCTGAGCCAGCCAGATGCCGTCTCCTGAATGTGTCTCATTGGGGCCCCGCCTGCTGGAGGAAGGGGACTCCTACTGGGGAGAGGCTGGACTTCGGGGACAGGGTCCCCCCTACCTGGCTTCAGCCCTGATGCATGCGTGTCCTCATTCCAACTGGCCCCAAGACCCTTGGCTGAGTTTTCCAATGTCGTTTCAGATGGACTCTCGTCACCTGGGGGGGAGTGGGTGTAGGGTTTTGTAGATGGGATGTTGTGGGGGACGTTGGGACGGTGACAGCTGAGTGAGATAGTGAGATAGAGCTGGGTGCTGGGGCCCAGTGGGGGAACCCAGGCTGTCCCCCGTCTGCCCCCTGCCCTGCCCCGCTCCAGCGTGATGGGGGGGTGGTAGAGAGGGGAGCCCAGGGCTCCATGGGGAGTCCCCCCCCCCGCTCCCCCCCCCCCCCCCAGCTGTGGCCAAGGCCACTTCCGCATCCTTGGAAGCCTGGCCCAGGGAGCCAGGCTGAAGGAAGGCTCCGGCCCTCAGTCCCTGTCCCCACACATCTCTGGCCCCAGCCTCCTTGGGGACAAAGCTGACAGGTTGGCAGCAGATTTATTTCGGCCCCTGGAGGTCTGACTGTGCTTCCCTGAGTTGTCTGGCCGTGGCGTGCAGGGGTGATGCATGGGTGGGGGGAGGTGGTATCTGTGTGGGGCATGTAGGGTGAGGTGGAGTCACGCCCGGGTCCTCCCTTGGCCCACCTGCGCCCACAAGTGCACTCTGAACACCCAGTCTCACGCGTGGGCCTCCCTGAGTGCCCACCCTCGGCCTGGGCTGTGGAGCTGGCTGACTTGGGCCAAGGGGGCACGGGGGTCTCCAGGCTCATCGGCTGCCACTTGTTCCCTGGTTTCTGTAGGGCCTGGGGCCCTCCACCACCTGCTTCTCCACTGGGACCCTGGCACGTCACTGCTGTGTCCCTTTCGTGGGGCCCAGACATGCCAAAGAACTCTGGGAAAAGAAAAGGGTAGAGGGGCCATGGGAAACCCTGGGTGGGCCAGCAGCGTGAGACAGGCAGAGACTCTGGGACTGTCCTGTCCCCACTCCCTGCCAGCGCCAGCTCTGCTCTGCGGGCAGAGCTGCGGTTCTCGGAAGAGTCGTCAGGGGGCAGCAGAGGGTTCATGCTCGGGGGCCTCAGGGCCCAGCAGGGCTGCCAGAGGGCACTTGGCCTGCAGCCCTCCAGACAGTCCTGCTCTGGCTGCTGCACAGGCCCCCAGACCCGCTGTCTCCCGCACCACTCAGTCTCTAATTTGTCACCTTGTCAGTGTCACTCCCCACCCCCCTCCCCTGCACCCTTGCTCCTACTTTCCCCTTCCCTTCTCTCCTGACTCCTCCTCCTTCCCCTGTCTCTCCCGCCCCCTCCTCTCTCTCCCCTCTGCTACTTGACTCTCAGGGACCTTGAGCCAGCCCTTCCCTCTTTGGACTTCAGAGTCTGGGACCGTCCCGTGGGGGGGGGGACACTGCCAGTGGACTCCCATGGCCACCTGGTAGGCCTTGACTGCAGCCCTGAGCCCAAGGTGTAGGACCCACATCCCCCAGGCCCAGAGCCTTGAGAGGCGGGGGCTCAGCTCTCCTTTGGCCTCTGGGGTGCAGGCCCAGGGTCAGATAGGGAGGAGGCATCGGGCTTACATGCTGATGCGTTCCCCCCCCCAAACACCAGGGGGTCCCAGAGACCATGCTGCCCCCACCAGTGGGGTGAGCCGTGGGGGCGCAGCTGGGGGGGGGGACAACTGTCCCCATCTGCCATTGGGGGTGTGTGTATGCACCTGTAGACAGTTCCTGGTACGCGTGTCTGTACACGAGCACGTGGCACATCCAGAGTGACAGGCTAGTGTGCACACCAGCAGTGCAAGGGGCACTAGTGCACGTTCCAGCGTGTGTATGTAAGTCACCCAGGGAATCTGTGAGCTTGGCTCGGGCCCACGTCTGCGTGCGAGTGTGGATGTGTCCGGGAGGTGCAGGGCCTGACTTCCAGGCCAGGTTGGTGCACGATGAGCTGTGAGGCCCCCTTCAAAAATGACCAGTAATGCCAAGACAGTGGCGCCAGGGCATCAAAGCAGTGAGGGGCTCTATGTGGCTGCGTGTGACCTACGGCAGGGAAGCCGAGGGCCAGGGCAGGGGGTCTGCCCTCAGCAGCCCTGCCAGCACACCCTGGCTGAGTTGAAGGAGCAAAGGGCCGCGGAAGTGGGGATCCGCGCCTGTTTTCAGGTGCCCGGTGATCACCCACACCCACTTGTGTGTTCCCGCCCCTCTCTGTAAGTCTGAAAGCCTCCCCACGGGTCTGGCCGAGTAACCTGCCCTCCTGGGCACCCTTCCCACTTGCCCTCCCTCGTCCCAGCCCCTCTGAGGGGCTCGTCCTTTAAGTCCTGCCTCCTGCCCCAGCAAGATTCCCTCCCTCTCCCCCCCCCCCCCCCCCCCGCCCAGGTTGGGTACCCCAGGCTGATTCCGGTGCCCACAGACGCCTCTCCCCATCCAGGCTGTGAGCCGCCCGGGTTTTGGGGTCCCCGCGCGGCCGTCACCAGCCCGGGCTGGAGGTGAGGGATGCTGCTTGGAGAAAGCACACCCCAGGGCGTGCTCGGGGCTACATTGTAAGGCGCTCTCTCGCTGTGGGAATCAAAGTCGAAGCCGCCCCAGGTCACCACCAGAAAGCAACTGGGCCATCCCTTCATTTGCATAGCGCTGTGGTATCTCGAGCGCGGTCGGGGGTCTCCAGGCCCGGCGTGGGGGGGGGGGGGTGGAGGGGAGGGGAGGAGCAGAGCGGTCGCGGCGGAAGGCTGGTGGCCTCGTTCCCGGGGCTGAGCGCTGCCGCCTGGGCCGTGGCCTTCGGCCCCCTCCAAGGCTGCCCCTGCCCTACGAGAGCATCTTCCTCTCGAGCCCGGGGGACCCGGAGAGCCAGGGGCGCCGGCGCGGGCGGAGCGGCCGGGGCCGGGGGCGGGGCGGGGTCGTCGCCCCGGGAATGCGATTGGCGGGCGCCCGCGGAGCAGTAGGATTGGCGGGGCGGGGCGGCCTGGAGGGGGGCGGAGGG